TATCCGTGAATGTTAGCAACTGGACAAATTGAATGCAGCGGTCCACGATTTCTTTCACAACCGCGTCGACCAGCACTTCCTTCGTCTTCATAATTTCTCCGATCGAACGAGACAGTTCTAATTTCTTCTCTGTTCTCATCTACTGTCATTCCTAAACTTTATAAAAACAGATGAATCAAATTTCGCTCCAATTTATTGGGTTGGCAACTAAGTAATTGCCGATTTCAGTTATAGATGTCTCTCACTCCCATTTTTATGATACCCGTAAATGTTATATTATAAAATTATTATTATTATTATTATTATTATTATGTTATTTTGTATTATCCGTGAATGTTAGCAACTGGACAAATTGAATGCAGCGGTCAAGGAAAGGCGACCACAATGCTATAGTTAGCTTGCTGACTTTTTTAACACTCAAGAAATATAGTTCAAATGTTACTTTAGTTTTCTAAAATGGCACCAAAGTGGTACCACCGGCATACAACAGATAGTTTTTGCATGGCACCAGCGTGCTGCCACCGGACGGCATAGTGTTAATATTGAAACCAATAAAAGGATTAGCTTCAGTCTCAACGAGGAGGTTTTGATAATATATTGGGTTGGCAACTAAGTAATTGCCGATTTCAGCTATAGATGTCTCTCACTCCCATTTTTATGATATCCGTAAATGTTGTATTATAAAATTATTATTATTATTATTATGTTATTTTTTATTATCCGTGAATGTTAGCAACTGGACAAATTTAATGCAGCGGTCAAGTAAAAGCGACCAGAATTAGTCAATCGTAAAGGTGTCATTTTCCAGCAGAACAATGCTAGGCCGCACACGTCTTTGTCCACTCGTCAAAGATTGATAGATATTGGTTGGGAATTGATGTTACACCCATCATATAGCCCTGATCTCGCGCCATTGGATTACCACTTATTTCGTTCCTTGGACAACTCCTTTCGTGGTAAAACTTTTAATGATGATGACGCTGTAAAATCTCACTTAACTCAGTTTTTGGCCGAAAAGGATCAGACTTTCTACGAGCGTGGAATTTTCAAGTTGTCGGAGAGATGGCAAAAGGTCATCGAACAAAATGGAAAATACATTACAGATTAAACTTCGTTCCAAGTAAAAAAAAACTTTTTATTTCATTGAACAAATCGGCAATTACTTAGTTGCCAACCCAATATATCACCGAATTGTGATTTTATATGTATATAAGCCAGTTGAATAATGCAAAGATTACTTTAAAAAGTGATGCAGTTTTGAACGATTCCTTCGAGGCGTCGCTCGAGTGCAGACGGTTGATGATTTAATTACATTGCGATTATTGCGTTAAACATTCGACGAGTGGCTGCGGCGGAGACGCTCGTGACATCGGGACCCTCGCAATCAGTATAATAACACATCGATGACGAACTTGTTGATGATTAAAATTCGTAGAATGTTATTTTGCTTCGAACTGCAATACATTTGGCGATTCGCAATAGAATTGTCAGCTGGGCTATTCGTATCATATCGATTCGTGAACAACTTCGTTTCTAGACTACGTCCATGTGTCTTTCGTTCAAGGTTATGAATATTTTCCAGGTAATGTATCAACAAGTGATTCGTTGTTTTCGCTGTTTTCTATCAACGGGTTTAACAGTTTTCTCGCAGTAGCTAAAAAATTACGAAGATAGAACGGTGTTCTTATTTCTGGTAAATCATGCTCGCGGTGATTCGCTTCGTAAACATGTCGGATACGCGTGTTATTTAATAAAAATTCGCTAACGCGTTCGATCATGATAATCTTATATGATAATAATATAATATAAGTGATAATAATATAATATAACGTAATTATGGGACACCCTGTATGCTGAACCCGGCCAACTTAGTAATTTTTGCCGAAAGAAATGCCCAGGACTTATTGTCACTAGAATAATTCCAGACGGTTTATCAATAAAAATCACGTACAATTTTGACAAAACAAAAAAGCCATGAATTTTTTGAAAAAGTTCGATTTCTTAATTCGCAGAAAAATCGGAATGACCGCTGTAGGACGCGTTACGAAACATTTCCGTGAAATATTTATTTGGTAAAATATCTGGCGTGCACGTAAGCGCTCTATCAGTGCAGAAAATCCTGGTAGCCATCGGCGAGCTTCTTTTCCAATCTTGTTTCACTCGAACATAAAGCATTACGGTTGAGCTTGCCGCATTTGTGAGACTCGCGGAGGCGTTAATACTGTTCGATGCCCGTGGAAACCGCCAAGTTCGATTACCGGGTTGAGTTCAGACGGTACGAATGCAAACAGATTTAGCTTCCTTGCTACGGCTTCATTTTAGCCAATGCTGCCCGCTGCTTCGTAAATCGAATCCCTTTTGCACGACACACCATTCACGTTTCACGTGACGAAATATTCCGTCGCGCCTAGTTAACAGGTTAACGTTTTTCTTTTTTGGTTGGCAGCTGAACATTCGGAGCATGCATTTTCGTTCCATCGTGCATTTTCTTTTTTAATTTTTGGCAATAGCGAAACGTGGTAAATAATAATAATAATAATAATAGTAATAATAATAATAATAGTGATAATAGTAATAATAGTAATAATAATAATAGTGATAATAGTAATAATAGTAATAATAATAATAATAATAGTGAATAATAGTGATAATAATAATAATAATAGTGATAATAACAATAGTGATAAATAATAGTGATAATAACAATAGTTATAAGTAATAGTGATAAATAATAGTAATAATAATAATAATAATAATAATAATAATAATAATAATAATAATAATAATAATAATAATAATAATAATAATAATAATAATAATAATAATAATAATAATAATAATAATAATAATAATAATAATAATAATAATAATAATAATAATAATAATAATAATAATAATAATAATGAAACCGATTTGCACTCCCCGTCAAAAGTATCACGACGTTCAGACAGAAAATTAAATAAAATTTTAATTTGTAGCGATATTATTATTATTATTATTATTATTTTCAGTTAAGAGCATTGAAAGCAACGGCTCGCAATGAATGATTTTAAACAGTTATTTCTTATTTTCATAATTGATACTCGAGCATCAATTCTTGTATTCGATATCTTTCTTGATCTTTTTTACTTTCATACTTTTATTTACATACTACTTACCACAATCAGCGATTTCGAGTTCGACGATATATATACAATTTAATAAAAAATTTTAAATAAATAACAATATCTCTTTTAGATTTCAATTTGGAAAGATAAGAAGTGTGTTATCGCTAAATAAATTGCGGTCGTTAAAATTCCCGGTACTCAGTAAAGTAATTGCAGGTAATGCGAGACAACGCGTTCTATTGACCATAGTGATATCTCGGTAAAGGAATAAAATTAATTTCGCACGTTAGTTTCGTGGAAATAATAAATAATTGTGCCAAAACGATGTGCAAAGGTTGCTGCTACTCCAATCAATTATTGCATCGAAGCTAAATTAATTAGTGTTCTCGGTGTGAATTATTCAGAAATTAAGTTTGTAAAATGAACGTCCTCCTATTACTAAAAATAGTTATTTATTACTTATTACTAAAAATTACTTAGATATTACTAAAATATCTTACTAAAAATATCCTAAGCATTCGACGCAAATAAAAAAAAATTTACTTTCGTGTTGTCGCTTATCAGTGCTTCTAACATAATATTTCCTATCGCAAACGATAATGATAAGATGCCTGGAATATTCCGAATTCGTGACACATTTAGGGAGGGTTTATAATATCTGCCATATATTTTGAGATATTTTCAAGGCTAAGGGTTGACAATCGTCGCTCTTTCCCGCTGGTCAAACTATCCCGGACCAACCCGAAAGATCGTTTAACCCTTCGCACTCGAGACTATTTCAACTGCAAAATGAAAACATTTGTTCGAAACTTACAGTATTTCCATTCGATATAATTGCTTTTATTCCATACATATGACAAACTGAATATTGTGAAAATTCTTTCGAAAATAGCGTAGCAATTTTCAGCGTCGCCTTACATGCTCGTCACTCGAGTGCAAAGGGTTAACCCGAGGACTCGAAGAAAAACGGTACAGTAATGTCTCCCTAACTGACGCTCAGATTGTGCACAAAGATGGACAATTTGGGAAGAGTAGATACGATTATTCGAGCTTTGCAACTCGTTTGTATAGTTGTTAACAATTGAGCTGTTCATTTTGAAAGTGGCATAAGTCACTTTACCGTAATGAAAAGTGGTGATTTTTTTAATGTTTACACGAAATTATTTATACCGAGAAAAATATCAGTATCCTGAGATAACAAATACAAGTAAATCTTCTCGAAAGTTAGCATCCATATTTTGAAACGTGTTAAAACGCAAACCCTTAAATATATCGACTTAAAAACAAAGTGACTTATGCCACTTTCAAAATAAACGGCTCAATTAGTATTAACATTTTGAACTGTCGCTTCAACCATGTGCGGGCGACGGAACGATTGAAAATATAACTTCTGAAAGTTAATTGTTACACCAATCCATTATAATCTCTTAATTTTATTAAGAGATTCGCAAGAGGATCGAATGTTTAATAAAGAATTGGTGTCGTACGATTTTGCTCTGTGCAATTTCAATTTAATCGAATAAAATACTTTCGTTCTACGAAATTTTTGAACCGTGAAAGCGCGTTAAACAAGTTGGAAGTAACTTAACGTAGTTCCCCTAAATTCCTCGAACGCGTTCAATTTTCTGTGTATACGTCAGCTTTCACGCTGTATTAAATTTCCAGTTTTAATAAAAAGTCCTCGACGTCGTTGAATTGTAAACGACGGGAAGATTCTCCTTTAAAGAGATAACAAAGTGACTTATGCCACTTTCAAAATAAACGGCTCAATTCGTAATTACAAAAACGAAATCTCCTCTTTCCAAATTGTCCAATTTGTATGGACAATCCGAGCGCGTCAATTAGAGAGACATCGCTGCAGTTCGCGATTCTAGCCGTGATTTTCTGTTGCAGATTCGCCAGAATGTTGGGTAGCGTGCCCAGCGGATGGATGAGGAAGATTCTCCTCTTTCTGGTCCTGATGACTGGGGTGCTGCTCATAGCCATGTACGCACACGCGCCACCCCTCGTCTCTCTGCAGCCGTTCTCGTCCCGCCGGTAAGTATCGCGCTGAATGTCGACCGTGTAAGGACCCAGTTCCTCGATCCCCGCGATCGTTCGTTGACCTTCTCTCCATCGGTATCTGTCGGCCAGCTCGATCGTTCCGATTCGAAGGAAAACGGCGAACAGATGGAGGGAAGAAAAAAAGAAAAAGGATAAAAGAACATGTGAAAATGTTCGCTGGATCGGTCAAAGAACTCGCAGCGTTCCCGAGTGTGTCACCCCCACCCTCCCCCCTCCCTATCGGCGTCTCCCTTCATCCCGAACGATCATCACCGTCACACCCGCCCAACCACGTTAACTTTGGTTACCGCAACTCTCTGTGTTTCTTTTTTTTATTTTTTCGTTAATTACCTTGCATTCCCGGCGACTCGGCGCGCATCAAAGACTGAAGGAGTTACAACGAGGCTTGGTTACATTCCTGGTCGGTAATGAAAGCACCAAGAGACCCGAGGAACGGCTCTACGAATATCTGGAAGAGCCTAGGTAACATTCCCCTCTTCCAATGGGGTGAACCCAAGTACTTGCTATAAAGCTTCCTTCGTTCCGAAAAACAAAAAAAGAAAACAGAAAAAGAACCCGAGTCCCCGCGTTCGCCCCCCCCCCCTCTCGAAACGACAATCTGTTTTCGACTTGGCGCCCTTTCGTTACCCTGCATGTACATATATATATGCTGATCTTAGAAGCTCCTCTGCCTTTCTTGAAGTATCTGGCTCTGTACACTTGTCGATTCTACGACCTTTCGTCGATCGATCAACCCTGTGGTGGCTTCCCTTATTCCGAACATTCGGGTTTCCTGGCTATGCGCAGTAAACTCTCCCTAATCGACGCTCAGATTGCACAAAAAAAATGGACAATTTAGGAGAAGAAAAGATACGATTATTCGAGCCGTGCGGTTCACTTTTATAGTTACGAATTGTTAACAACTATAAAAACGAGCTGCAAGGCTCGAGTAATTGTATCTCCTCTTCTCCTCTCCGGTTCGAGAAGAGGAGATACGATTATTCGAGCCTCGCGACCGATTGTCAATAACTATAAAAATGAGCTGCTGGAGAATAATCGTATCTCCTGTTCCCAGATCGTCCATTTTTGTGCATGATCTCAGAATCAATTAGAGAGAATTTATTGTTATTATTGTATTCGGGTTCTGGGTTTCAATGGTTAAGTATAATTGGAACTAGAATACTATCTCCGGCAATAAGTATCTGGCCAGAAGTTATACTAACGAATTAATTTAAAGAAAAAAAACGAGATTGTTTGCAGCTCAAATGCTACGACATAAATAGAAAAGTATTTAGTTTAAGGTTGCATGTATTAGATAAGTACGCGACATGTAACTAGTGGTTTAGTTTATTTTCGTGGAAAATACAGTGAACGGAGAGAACGATGCTTGGAAAAAATGTATTTGGCCAAGCGAGATCCTGGGAAAAAGTATTCGATCTTTTATGTTCGCATAGAGGCGAATATTAATTTGCTTTTCTATTCACGGTATCTGGTGTTTTAGGTCGTTTTTATGCGCGTATAGAACTGTTTGAACGGGTGTTGACGCTGATTTTTATGAAATCTTGCATTTTTCTTCACATTTTGCATCTTTCTCGCACTTTGTTTCTTCCATTTCTCTTTTAAAATTTCTCTGTATTGTTTAGAAAGGACAATGGTGTAAATGGACCAATTTTAATTTATTTTAATTTACGTATGAGTAAAGACTCCAGATTATGATTATGATATTAAATTATAGCAATTTTATTAATTATGATATTAAATTATAGCAATTTTATTAACTACGATATTAAATTATAGCAATTTTATTAATTATGATATTAAATCCTAGCAATTTTATTAATTATGATATTAAATCCTAGCAATTTTATTAACTACGATATTAAATTATAGCAATTTTATTAACTACGATATTAAATTATAGCAATTTTATTAATTATGATATTAAATCCTAGCAATTTTATTAATTATGATATTAAATCCTAGCAATTTTATTAACTACGATATTAAATTATAGCAATTTTATTAACTACGATATTAAATCCTAGCAATTTTATTAATTATGATATTAAATCATAGCAATTTTATTAACTACGATATTAAATCGTAGCAATTTTATTAACTACGATATTAAATTATAGCAATTTTATTAACTACGATATTAAATCCTAGCAATTTTATTAATTATGATATTAAATCATAGCAATTTTAAATTTATTAGTTGACCTAAAAAATACAGGTACTTATTTCAATCATAATATGTGAAGAAAACTAATCATAGAATTCTCTTAAAATCGACCCCGACTGTATAAATAAAAACTCCGGAATACGATTATGCTATAAAAAGAAGTTGATTTTTTTTCCATTGCTCGCACCACTGTGCGGGCGCGACGTTGCTTTAATCGGCTGAATTTCGTTATCTAGAACGCCCTCAAAGAAAAATTAATACTCATAAATTAAACGTCGGTCGAGGATAACGGTCTCATGAATATTTATCACCGTAATTCCATCTTGCAACGGCGGCATTATAACGCATGGACGTACATGTACAAAATGTTCGCGTACAAAACAACCGCCGATTATTTTTCACGAACGACTGGTCAGCCGGACGCTCTCCTATTTTCACTTCTCGAGTTCTATTTCCTGTCTTGCGAGAATCGTGTCGATCGCCCAGTCACACCTAGCGTTTCCATGGTGTAACTGATTTATGCATCCGAGGCTACCTTCGCTCTTTTTCCCCGAAATTTCGGCGTCTTTCCGTCGAGGATGTCGCGCTACAGTAAATTCTCTCTAATTGACGCTCAAATTGTACACAAAAATGGATAATTTGGGAAGGAAAGACGTGATTATTCGAGCCTTGCGGCTCGTTTTTATAGATACCAATTGTCAACAACTATAAAAATGAGCTGCGAGGCTCGAATAAATTGTCCATTTTTGTGCACAATCTGAGCGTCAATTAGGGAGAATTTACTGTATTATCGAATGCTAAGTAGATCGCGATTGAATAGTCGCTGGTCCGCAGAATTTCCACGCAGTCGAGGCTCTCCGAGATTTGCAAGAAAACAATAAAACTCGAGTTTTCATTTGGAGACGTAAAATATTCAAACGTTCGTTACAAAATTCATCGAATTCGCAAAGTTAGGTTCTGCAATGTACTCGATTATTGGTGCCTACACAAGCGGTGTCCGATTAGTAGACAGACCACAAATCTTTATGCATTTACGGTAATGCATAAATTAATATATTATATATAATAAATTAATATTATGCTTATGCATAATTTTTAAAATGCAAGAAAACATTAATATAGAAAATTGTGAATTAACGAGGTCTAACGCAATTTTTATTTTCTTCCACTTTACTTTTTTTTCTTTCATTCTAATCCTTGCAAAATGGCGTATAAAAATGTGAATTTGCATAAAGATCCGCGATCTATCGATTAGAGTACTCTCGGGGCTCGTTATTCGGTTTCCTTTCATGTATATATTTCTGTAAGTATACCACAATATGTCCAGGGTGTAATAACGTACTAATGTGACTCCAAATAATGCGCAAAATTATTAACGAACATATACTTTTAACGACAAAAGTCAAAAAAGTTAACGCATCTCTAACATTTGAGTAAAATTCGATATTTTAATAAATATACGTCTTATTAAATTAAAAGTACAAATTATAGCGAAGCATGTAACACATTGTTGATATACTTATCAAGAACTTTATCAACAAACTTTTGAATCGGTTGTAAAAATTACGGATCAAATTTTATTTAAAGAATTCAATACGTTTCATTTAATAACGTTGTTTCTAAATGTAAGTAAAATTATCGCGAGGGCACAGTAACCATTGGGGACCACAGTAATTGACACAGTAATCGGCGATGTTTTACCTAAGTTTCATCGCATGCACCATAAACGATTATTCCATTGTTTCCTTTTTGCTTTTATTGATTTTACGAAATGAACGTGAATTCGATTTGGGGAAACGTGAATATAATTTGCAAAAGGATGAATTTCGAGTGTAGTTCGATGCAAAGTGAGGGAAATACGAATGAATTATTGCATCATGCGAACCTCTTGAGAGTCCAGTCAATAATTCACGAGTAAGTTTTAAGTTGTGCCACGTTAGCGAGCTCACCCTGTATATATTTTTGTTCACACAAATGCAGCTTGCGTATGCTCTCTTTGTATCTCCTACTAATCCTTTTAGCGTGTAAGCTATTCTGTACAATACCTTATTAGAAAATATTACTTGGGAAAAGTCGATAGGCACTTGAATATCCTCGAATTTCGTATCGAGACACGCAATACGCGAGTACTATGCTTTCTTTTAACACATTCCCTTATTTGTTATACATGAAAATGTCTAATTTACTGTTTCTTTGTACGTCCCAGGAAAAGGCGTTCGATTAAGCAAATCAAGCGACTACCATCAGAATTATTCACACGTATGACGTTGAACATTTTTTTTTTTTATTAACAATGGAAGTGAATGCGATGAAATGTGTCTTGAAACTAAACGCAAACGTGTGTTCATTATAATGGCTTTCGATTATTGATAAATCCTACGAGATCTAAGAATATTTGACACTATTTATCGAGAATTATACAACGGTATAATTTTTTTAGAACTAGATCAAATGATCTGAATTTTTGTTTAGATGATACAGGAACTAGAATGGAACTAGAATGTTTTTTCTTAGTTTTGCCATTACTCGAAATAACGAGAAAGGATGAAGAACTCAAAATTTTTAACTTTTTTATCAGAGCCTATAACAAAAATCTAACAAATGAGTTTTGTAAATGTCGGTCAAGTAAATAAAAAAATAGTATCATTTTACAGACAAATGCAGGATTTATAGAACTAAGAAACTTCTCGCGATTTCTAAATAGATCTGAATATTTATAAAAGAACCCCCCGATGCATGTGCCAAAACACTGCTTGATCAAATTCAAATACGCGTCGATAATAACACGTGACGTCATTTTCGGCGTACAAATAAATTTCTCTCGACGAACGCCACCAACTAACGTCATCAAATATGAAAACAATTTTTCTAGTATACTGTAAAATGTTTGTTTTACTTAATACTGTGTAACATTCGCTACAAACATATTAAAATATTATCATTCAATATTTGCATATGTTTTTTGTATTCTTACATATTTGTCGTGCATAAATATTTGATATGCTTCTTTTATGCATATTTACCATTCATAAACATCCGCAGTCTATTAATGACAGTGTTTGCACAGATATTTATACTAAAATACTAACGATCACTATCGCCATTCAGTACGTTGTTTAGTAATTCTGATGTTGCAATTTGGAACTTTGGCTTTAATCGACGTAATCGTCGACGATCTGGCATTTAATCAAATCACTAATCGAGTCGCGTAACTGTCTGCCCGGGAATGTGTCGATCATCATGCCGTTTGCAGCCCCGTGTCTTCAAGTGCCTAAAAAGCTTCCAAAGTATTTTTCCTCGGTTGCGCTACTTCTGTCCGAACGCCGAAGCTCATTAACAGCATGGCACGGTTCGTCTATGGACAATCTTAAGAAGTCTCTATTCTGCCGGGGGGGACGAGTACAGGACATTCCAGAGCCCGTGGTCTTGGGCCTGTGTGGCTGGCCGATGCGAGAGGAGAGCGGTCAGATCGTCGCGTACGTCTCTGGCGAGTTGCATCGCGCTCTGCGGTGGCAACACTCGGCTGCTCTGGCCCAGGCCGACCGGGAACATCCTCTTGGGCGAGGACAGCGTGGTCATACACTATCAGCAAATTGAGTTCGTCACCGTGAACACCAGCGACCAGGAGACGAAGAGCCTGCTGGAGCACGCTAAGGATGTTTTCATCGGTAAGACCAAATTCTTCATTTATTTATTCCTAGGTGATTCCTGAGATCATTTCGAGTAACTTTTTCCTTAGCGAAAATGCAATCCGCGGCTTCGTTTACGAATTATTAAGGAAAAACGTTGACCAATGAGAGGCGAGTTCAGCTGGCGCAAGGGGGCCGAGCCAACGAGCGGTCGACGCCCAGTTCCGCTCGGCCGCCTAGCGCTAGGCGAGCTCGCCTCTCATTGGTCAGTGTTTTTCGTTAATAACTCGTGAACGAAGCCGCGGATCGCATTTTCGATAAGGAAAAAGTTACTTGAAATTACCTCAGGAATCACCCTTTCCCGGGTGTTGACATAATTATGAAGCACCCTGTATTAATATACTACTGTATCTTTATGCAAAATAAAAATTGTCTCCACCAATTGCAACAAACACGAGCCAAATAAAATTTGTTTCTTCCTTTAATAATTTCAGCAAGTTGAAAATAATATGTTGATTTCCTCGAATTCTTTTTATCCTCTTCCACTGTCTTGATTCTCAGCTATTCATTTTCGTGGTAAATGCATAAAATCCGCAGTCTAACATTGCATTACACAGTACATTCAGTTACATTACACAGTCGTTCCCAAATCGACTGACCTTTCGAATGAAATACTTGATTGACAACTTTTTAGACTCAGCTTTTTATACTTGAAAAAGGTTGCCCCACTGTTGGACCCAACTTCGTGGAATAACAAAAATGTTCCTGTTCCGGAATAATGCAAAATTGATTATTACATATGCCAGTGTTTTTCGTTAATAACTCGTAAACAAAGCCGTGGATTGCATTTTCGCAAAGGAAAAAGTTACTTCAAATGACCTCAGCTACCCCTCATTTTCGGCTGTTAAAATAATTGTGGAACACCCTGTATATATGTATTTCAACGTCTCGCTACTTGGCTGATAATCAGTGTTTTAACCAGAAACAGTTTTGGAAACAATGAATAACTCGCAATTTTGTACGGTTTTTATTTCTAACGAAATTGAAGAACGAAGCTGAAAGCTAAATCTTTTATTCGTGTATATATATATTACATATTATTATTATTTATATTATTATTATTATATTATATATGTAATATATATATATATATATATTTATATATATATATATATATATATACATTATTAT